TGGAGATGGAGATGGAGATGGAGATGGAGATGGAGATGGAGATGGAGATGGAGATGGAGATGGAGATGGAGATGGAGATGGAGATGGAGATGGAGGGGGGAGGAGGACGTACGAAAGCAGTATCGATTTGACACGGTTCTTTACCAGGTTCTTCAGAACGTATCAGTGATCACTCGTCTCAGTGAAAGGAGATGAGAAGGGGAAACGTACGTTGAAACCCGACAGTATGCGCGTGTCCGCCCCACCAGCTATCTTTCTCATAGATATGCACCTCATGTGCCGTATACTCGTTCAGAACCTGGTCAATGCATCAGCTTGTGACTCGTAGAGAGAAGGAAAGGAAGGAGACGTACCCAGAGAGCCGATAAGCCACTGACACCACCGCCGATGATGGCAATCTTCATCTTCTTCTGCTCCTCCTCTTGCTTCTTCTCCATCTCCTGCGTCATGTTTCCTTGTGGTATCGAAGCTTCGAGGGGTCGGGTGAGACAAACAGCAACTAGCTGACAGCAGAAAGGCTGGAAAGAAAGATCTACGGGATGGGATGAGGGATCGAGGGGGCTTTGAGGCTTGAGGCTTATATTCAGTGGAATGTTTTATCGGTGCTCCTTTGGCCCTTTCGGCAGCCTTTGAAAGGGAGATTGTTACCCTGTTGCGATTGTCGTGATTGGGGATTTGAAACGAGACACACTGTCCTGTATACACATACGACCCTTGAGCGCTCAGAGCTCTGGTCTTCCTCTCATCTCGCGCTTGGTATGTCGCGCAGCGAGATGATGGAGATGCCGGAAGGTTTACCATCTCCCACATCACCTCACTGAGAGAATCAGGGTAAGCTCTCCTTACATAGTGTTTGTGCGCTGTGGCTGTATCTGTGTGATGTCGAGCGCACTGACCCGTCGGAAATACCCGGTCTCGCAGAGGGGCGGCTTTGCATCCAAGCAGCGGTTCTCAATAAGCTCGAGAGAACGGCGAGAGAGTTGCTTTCGCTCATGCTGAAGAAGGAGTGGCCAAAGGCCGGCAAAGGAGAAAGAGCATGTGAAGGGGGGTTCGATTGGGGTGGGGTATGGCTTTTGGTTCTTCAGTGAAATGAACGGGGTGACTGCCGCAATTGTGCATGTTCTCCTTTGTCCTGGCATTTCCCTGTACGGTGATCACTGTGAACAGCTGTCAGTATACGGCCGGGCTCATCATTCGGACCTACTGTGGAGAGGGATGTGAGGAAGGAGAAATTGCGCGGGGGCCCGGAAGAAAGATGAAGTCTGCGCCGTGTTTGGTTCCGTCGGCTTGTTCGGAGGCAGAGTTGTTCAGCGTCGCTCTGACGAAAAAGGGGTGGACCCAGACGAGGTATTCTCCATGGGGGTACATACATAGTTTATACTTCAGATGCAGCATGCATGTACCCCCCCGCCCCCACTCCCCGTAGAAAGAACGCATAAAGCGTGGCCCTCCTCCAAACCCAGCTCCGTCGGCATTCCGATGCCCTGATCGATCGCTTGCTGCACATGTTGATGAGCTTGCGCACCTGACGATCACACGCCACGCACATGTCCTTGCCCATCCCACGCTTGGGCTGTGTGTTTGCGCAAGATCAGACGAATCGGCGGGGCTGGCGTCTATCAGTGGCTTCTGGATATGTGTTGCACTGCATCACGCCTGATATCTGTATGCGAGGTCATCCGCAGCATGGAGTTCTGAGCAAAGAAGGCAGTATTGATCCGACTGGCAGGAGTGGAATATGCCGAGATGACGACGCATCTTCTCCTCGACTCATCGCGAGAGATTCGCGCCTAGCTTGTACAGTATTTGAGCTGCAAGAGAGATAGGGGATGAAGGACCAACACTTTGGAGTAGCATATCCGATTATCGATGCAGAGTTGAGAGAAGTGCCGAAACCACCAGACACCGAGTCCATGCTCTCTCATCGCATTGGGCCTCGCCCATAGCGTCAACACCCTCAAAACTATCTCTGCACTCCTCATCGCTCTCTTCCATGATCCCACCTCCCTGGCACTCTTCCCGTAGACACCAGCGCCCACGAATGACTATCGTCCAAAGTAGAGTTGAAAGGAGGTTGGGAGTGGAGAAGTTGGCGGGCTAGGTTGAATTGGGGAAGGGAGCGGGAACGGCCGTCATGCGAGCTGTGGGCTCGGTCGTACAAGTACATGCCGTACAAGACAGCCATGGCGGTCTTGGAGAGGTGCTCTCGTTGGTATCGTCAACCGCATTGTTGGTAGTAGTTGGCCGAGTCATCCCTTCTTCAGGACCCAGCCGTCCACCCCAGCGTCCCCTTCCATCCCCAACAGACGGAACGCCATCCCCAACAGACGGAACGCTATCTGCCTCTTTCAGGCCTTTCCCTGTCATGTGCGGAACCCCTACGGCCCCACCCTTTCCCTTGCTCAACACTCGTCCATGGGCTGTGGGATCTGTCTCTAGGCTGACATTGGAACCGAAGCGGGTGTTGTGGCTGGTACCGACATTAATGTTGAGTGAAGATGATAGTGGTCGACCACCAGCAGTAAGCATGCTTGATCCAAACGGGAGTTGTTGGGCTAAGGACTGGGTAGTGGCTCATCGTTGATACGGAGGAGCCCATGGCTGGGCCTGAGACTAGAGCCGGGGCAGGCGAACGTTTCTGGTAGGAGAGCACCAAGACCAAAGTGGACGGTAAGCGTCTCTGCCCCGCTTCACACTGATCCGTTTTTCTCCTCCTACTTCATGCACGTAGACCGTAACTCCGTAAGAGCTATCTTCAGTGACGATAGTTGGTGCATGCGGCTGACGGCAAACAAGCCACATCGGTATGGAAAGTCCCTCTCCGTAATACCTGTTCTAGCTGCTGGTGTTGCCCCTTGCCACGTCCTATCGAGGAGCTTTCTCTCCTCTTCTGCCTCTCTTCCCTTCCGTAGACCTTCCTCCCATCTTCCACGTCTCTTCCCCTCACTTAGAGACCTTCCTCTCCCCTTCCTTCTCCTATATCTCCAACGTATATATACTTCCTCTCCTTCTCCGCCTGATCTCCCCTCCTCTCGGGGGGAGTGATAACGTGATGCAGGGGGAATTGGAAATGGTTGGGGAATGGGTGGATAGAGGCTGGAGGGTAGTGGGAAATGGTGGGAAAGGGCAGGGCCCTCACAAGCTGCGCTCAGATGATTGCCGCACATGATGGTCTTTCGTTTACGCAGTCGTTACAGCAAACACCTCTTTCTAGTTGTTGCTGATCAACATACTTGAGGAGACTCCTTCGAGCGAACCATGCAGACTGATTGCAATGGTATGACACTTGAAGGTAAGCTACTGTCACGGCCTGCTGGGACGCAGCAGGGGAGAGGACTGGAAAAGGTGATTTTGGAGGGGAAAAGACCTTTTCGGTATTATCGCATAGAGAAAGAGTAGAACAGTAGGATATGAATTGAGTATGTACACCGCGCGTCCTTCAACCATCCACACAACTCAGGGCCATGCCACTTCAGGGAATATCTACGTGTGACAGCTACCGGTCACATTCCGCCGCTCGTGTGCAGCTCGTCGAAGAAGGTGGCCGAAGTCCCCGAGTACGTCTCTATCCTATTCCCTTCCGGTCTTATATATGACCACCGAGTTCTGCCGTTCCGCGCAGGGAACAATTGTTTTCGATGTACATGAACTCCTTACACTTGCGCTCAGATTTATTATAGGATACATAATCGTTCGTAGATACATATATTACACTTGTCACTTGATACAGCAATCACTTCTGATTCATTGCTGATGTCAACGCCATATCTTCCAGCAACCACACTTTTGCTTATCTGGCATCAGGACATTGTCGTCAAGAAACAAAGGAAATGACTCACAATAGTGTTGAAAGTCGCTTTCCAAACCCTTCACGAGCTCCTCCCTCTCCGAAGCAAGCTGCGCCTCCGCGCGGAGCCTTATCCTCTCCTTCTTTTCTGGATGGCTGGTGATCTTTTCCCAAACTTCCACCCTTTCCTCGAATTCCTGACCGATACGCGCGTCATAACCGCGCAATTCTTCGTCGATAGATTCACGGTAAGCCTGTATCTTCTGTTTATAGGCAGATGTGGGGGCGTAGGCGGAGAAATGGTCGTCGGCGTTGGGGAGGGTCAGATGAGGAACTGCGAGAGGGCGGGATACGGTGCCGGTAGACATGATGGTAGGTGTGTGGAGCGAAGAGAAGCGGGAGGAATCAAGTTGAATCAAGATACACGACGGCTTGAGCGGGTGGCAATTTAAGTCACCTGACTGACGGATTTCGCCGCCGTCGACTTGCGCGACTGGCTTCGTCTCTGGATACTGAGGTGTGATGATGATAGCACACATACTCAAAGAAATACACCATGTCCGCCCAGCAGAACCGCTATCCTACCATTCGGTTTGTCCCCCCCCGATCGGCCGACAAATGACCAGGATAGAATGCGCCACGAAACCATCATCAAGGCGTTGTACGAGATGATGGTGTACGATGGTGAGGCGGCAGCCGATATTCCCCACGGGGCCCTCAAAGCCCTCTCTACTTCATACTTCTTCTTCGCACCGGTGGCGCGCTCCTCCCTCTACCCCAACCTCGTTGTCTCTGGCGACCCGTCCTTGGACGTCGCACTCCCCACCCCTCAAAACACGAACCAAGGCACCATCC